TAATTTTTGGTAGCGATGACGGTCTTGTTGATCATCATGTGATCGATTCTTTCCTTAGTGTGGGATTGTGTATATCGTAAGTACATTTTAAATTTTGAAATTACAATTGAGGGGTCTAGACCATAGTATAAAAATTATTATTATTAAAATTTTTAAATTAATTCTAAATAACTAATAACTCACTTATTATACTTATCTAACATACGACCACCAAGAAATAACTTGGATTCCTCTGACTCAATGAAGTACTTATTACCGACTAGGGAATGCATAAGTACTTCAGCAGTTATCATCGGATTAACCGCCGCTCATTACGAACAGCAACAAGTGTATACTTTTTTGCTGATATGCAACTACCAAGAAATAACTTGGATATCCTCTGACCCAATGAAGTACTTACTACCGACTAGGGAATGCATAAGTCCTTCAGCAATCATCGGATTAACTGTCGTTTATACACGAACAATTGCTAGTCACAACAAGTATATACTTTTTTACTAATATGCAACTACCAAGAAATAACTTGGATATCCTCTAACTCTAGTACTTCAGCTTCATCGGATTAATTGTCACTTATATATGAACAATTGCTAGTTGCGACAATATATACTTTTTTACTAATATACAACCACCAAGAAATAACTTGGATATCCTCCGACTCTATGAAGTACCTACTACCGACTAGGGAATGCATAGGTCCTTCAGCAATCATTGGATTAACTGTCGCTTATGCACGAACAGTTGCTAGTTGTATTCAATAAATAAAGTATATTATTGTATTATTAGTAATAAAGTATTTTCAGCAATAAATTATTTTGATAAAATTGATAGTCTACTTGATTTATTTAATCGAAATGTAAACAATATGCATGATGCAGATCAATTACGTTATCATATAAACAAAAATTCACGATTTTGATTGGTCATCAAAAACGATCGTCTTCGGGTACTGTAAAATCGGACCACCCCGGATTGAGAGACTGTGTTCGACCCACTCCGAACTCTGATACAGACTCGCCATCAAAAATTTCACCCCACGTGACCAACGAAAAAATTTTTAAGTTCGTTTATGTTAAGGTTAGTGCCCAAATTAGTGTTAGAATTTAGGTAATTATATAGTAAAATTGTGTAAGAAAAACTTTTTGTTAGTGCACAAAAGGTAGTTTCTTATGCAAATTCTTGAGAAATAAATTTTCCTGATCGTGTTACGTTACATTAAATCAGGATCTTTTATTGGTCAATAATCACGTAGGGTGAAATTTTTATGGCGATACTGGGGTAAATCTCTGATACAATGCGCATCACGTGTCTGCATATATTGGTGGGCTCTGTGGTTATGCTACTTTAAATTAGATAACCAAGGTAAGTTAAGCCGAAAATTTCTTTATCGTCTCTGCATTCCTAGTATATGAGGCTAATGTTGTGCCTTTCTCAGGGCCTATATAAAATAAAATTAAGGTAAATATTTAAGATTTTTTTTAAAGCTAAACGAAGGCTCTCACCTT